CTAAAGGGCTACACAGCCCTTAGTTCGAACTAGTAAGTTCGAACTAGGCGTTAGTCCTCGTAAAATGAGGTTTACCTAGTTCGAATTAAGCGCTCCGCTAGTTTGAATTAAGTTCGAACTAACGGAGCGCTAGTGTAGCGCCTATCAAAGTTAATTCGAACTAACGTTCGTTAGTTCTAATTAACTTTGTAGTGTAGACATACCCGGGCTTCCAGGACCTGGTGCCTGGATGCTGATGCCTGGTGCCTGGATGCCATGGAGGAATGAAATTGACAGGGAAGAAGAAACTGTACCTGTGTCATACCTGAGAAGGACTCGGAGAGCCCATAAAGCAGAAGAAAAGGAACCAACTCCACCTACTGACCACCCTGGTATCCTGCCAGGGCTGACAAGAGACCACATCCGACGTGCGGTGATTACACTCACACTCCTCAACATGCAATACCTCTTGCTGGGAAAGCACGCCTCACTGGAGAAGAGCTCCCCACCGGGGCGGCCCGTCCATACAGGCAAACTAGGTGGTCGCCGAGGGCACTGAGTTAAATGGGGCACCAAACGGTGGCGCAATATCATTGAGGGGTTTGGGGGGGGGTGCTGATTGCATGGTTCGCCTAGGGCTCCAGTTGCTGGCTGCTAGTCTAGGGCCGCCCCTGCTCCCCACCTCACCCTGTCGCCGTAAGTCCAACCCACCCCTTCTGCAGAGCCAATATTGCGGGCGGCTGTGACACTGTGGAGTTAAAAGTGATCTTACTCCAAGGGTTTTCCTTAACTAAATTGGGCTCAATTCCACTCTCTGAATGAATGTTCATGATTTAGTATTTGCACTGCAGGAACCTGCCACAGCTGTAAGCAGGCTCCCATTGGTGTAGGGCTGCACAGACACACAGACAGACACAGCCCCTGCCTGAAGTTTCACACCTTTGAAACGAATGTAACCAGATGAGGGAACTGGGGAGGAAGGACTGACTTAGCAGAGCAAGGAGAAGATCACACTATAACATAGACTAGCCAATGCTTACTTGGGGGGCACTGAATCGTAACTAATATGATGATAGGACAGAGGTTGATATGTTTATGACTTGTGGAGAGAAAGTGAAAAGGAAAAGTTACTTACGTGTTCCCATAAGAACTAGGGGTCACCACATGAAATGAAGAGGTAGCAGGTATAAAACACACACAAAAGGAAGCTTTTTTTGTGCAACACACAGTGAACCTGTGGAACTCCTTGCCAGAGGATGTTGTGAAGACCAGAATTTTAACAGGGTACAGAAAAGAGCTAGATAAATTCATGGAAGGTAGGTCCATCAATGCTTATTAGCAGCGCTTGCCGAACCACGGCGAGCCCTGCTCGCCAGCCACGCTGTCCGACAGTCTGTGCATGTGCAGATCGCCCGAACCCAGCTCTTCTGGGTTACAATCTACTTGCCATGGGTGAGTAGATTGTATAATTTGTCAAACCCTGCTTATTAGCCAGATTGGGTAGTAATGGTGTCCCTAGCCTCTGTGTGTCTGGGGCTGGAAATGGATGACAGGAGAGGGATCACGTGATGGTTCCCAGTTCTGTTCACTCCCTCAGGGGCATTTGGCACTGGCCACTGTCGGCAGACAGGATGCTGGGCTAGATGGACCTTTGGTCTGACCCAGTCTGGCCGTTCTTATAAGTGGCATTAGTTGAAAAATAGGAGAGGGAGGGAAATTACAAATCAAATCAAACAAGTACATCTCAGAAAACGTTCTCCATTTTTTGGTCAATGTTTTGAAGCCAGGGAGACTTTTCAGCCAGCTCCGGTTACAAGCTAGTGTGTCTGATCTCAGCGCTCCAGGAATGCAAATGAGACCTAGCCATCGGAAGCTGGCTAATTTCTCGAAGGCTGCTCAGGAAGAGAGGGTGAAGGAGGAGGGATATGACTCAGTTCAGGTGGGTGTTTAGTGCCTGGAAGGAATTACAAAGACATTTGTGAGCCAAGTGGAGAAAAGCCTGGGTGACCAATGAGCCAGTACTGTGAAAGGTGAAGGTTTCTTGCACACAGAAGTGCATTGACTGATCTGTGATTAGTTTCCTGCTGTCTAACTCAGGGCTAACTCTAAGCCCCTTTTTACCCCCCTTATGGAAAGATCCTGTTGACTTTATTCTCCAAAGATCTCCATCCCATTCGTCATCCTCTAGGCTGTATTCCAAAAATATCTCTGCGAGAGAATTCTATAGGGGCCCCCCAAAACCTATAGAAACGCTCTCACTCTGCTAAATTCTGTTGGTTTGTACAGTAATTTTTTGAGCTCTCTTAGGGTATGTCTACACTACAGAGTTAGTTCGAACTAAAGGACGTTAGTTCGAACTAACTTTCATAGGCGCTACACTAGCACTCCGCTAGTTCGAACTAAATTCGAACTAGCGGAGCGCTTAGTTCGAACTAGGAAAACCTCGTTTTACGAGGATTAAGCCTAGTTCGAACTAGGTAGTTCGAATTAAGGGCTGTGTAGCCCCTTAATTCGAACTAGTGGGAGGCTAGCCCTCCCCAGGTTTCCCTGGTGGCCACTCTGGCCAACACCAGGGAAACTCGTTTGCCCCCCTCCCGGCCCCGGACCCCTTAAAGGGGCACGGGCTGGCTACGGTGCCCATGCCAGGTGTAAGCCTGCCAGCACCCAGCCAGCAGACCCTGCACCTGGCACGGCTCGAGCCAACCACCCGATGCCCCCCCACCCTC